TACACGTCCCTCGATATTTGCAAATACCAAAGTTTACATCATGGCGGACAGATCAACAGATCGTTTGGCTTCTTCTATCAGCTCTGCGTCGACTGAAGAAAGATTTGATGATAAGACCGAAAAGCGTGCTCTGATGGATGCACAAGATGGAGACTACAATTCAAGAACACCAGAGGAATTGGAAGAAGACATTGAACGCGCAGATTTACTTGCACCACCACCAGAAGATAAACCAAAGGCACCGGAAAGTTCTGTGAGATCTTCAATCATTTGGATGGTGGTAAATACACTTGCGACAATCGGTATCGTGAGTCTTTCTCGACATTGAGAATCTCCTTACAACATCTTGACAATTTTCTAGGTCTTCACAAACAAGGCAATCTTCTCAGATCCTTCATTGAAACTCGCACAACTCACATTTGCTGCCTTCCATTTCACAGTAACATGGCTGACGCTCTTCACACTCTCGCGACCACGGTTCGCCTTCTTCACACCCAAAAGAATTGCAATCAAGGACATCTTTCCACTCGCTATTTCCATGGCATTGAATGTCATTCTACCGAATTTATCTCTCGCCTTTTCGACCGTTACTTTCTACCAAGTAGCTCGAATTCTCCTCACACCAACCGTCGCTCTTATGAATTTCGTTTTGTACCGATCCACTTTGCCTAGAAATGCGATATATGCTCTGATACCAGCTTGTCTCGGTGTAGGAATGGTTTCTTATTACGATTCACTGCCTGCTGCTGATGCCAATATCCAAACCACCAGTACTTTAGGAGTCATCTTCGCATTCTCCGGAATTTTCGCCAGCTCTCTCTACACAGTATGGATCGCCAGTTACCACAAGAAATTGCAAGTCAACAGCATGCAATTATTATTTAGCCAAGCACCACTAGCAGCTTTCATGTTGCTCTACGTTATTCCATTCGTCGACACCTTCCCCGTTTGGGCGGAGGTGCCTGTCAACCGATGGGTTCTGATTATGATGGTATGTGCTCTCGTGTTAATGTTAAACTCGTATATGCAAATTGCACTGTCAGCTAACAACTCCATCTCCTAGTCGGGCGGTTTTGCATGTCTAATTAATTTATCACAATTCTTCATTATTGCTCAAACGGGTCCCGTCTCGAGTACTGTTGTTGGCCATGTCAAAACATGCTCGATCGTTGCTCTTGGATGGATGACCTCTGGACGCGCTGTGGGCGATAAATCAGTGATTGGTGTGTTGATTGCAATTGCTGGAATTGTTGCGTAAGTTTGAACCCCTTTTCCATCTTCCAATTTCCCTTGGGCAATGGAAACTCCAAATCATCCATTTTCGGGGATCCTAGCCGGATAATTCTTGGCGAGCGGTAAGCGGCCAGCACCCGGTTTTATCACACATTTCTTGATGTCAAGCTATTTAAAAGTCGCCGCCCCCTAAACACTATATTATCCGAGTTCGTATTGAAGTGTCAATCAGGAATTCATCTTAAATTGGGTTTATGTCAAATGTCAAACATTCTTATTAACGAAAATTCATGTGTCAGATATTCAATGGTAATGATCAAACACAAAACCCAACCCAAGAAATAAAGTGGCGAACGTTATATTCTGCGTCATCTACGGAGTATATATTCCATTCCATATGTTTTACGATTTCTCAAAAGAAATGCAACGGCCTACCTACCTCCTTCATTCAGTAGGCGTCTCGAACTCAAAGCATCCATCCATCGACGGTCATTCGGTGTATATTCATCCGAAGTGAATTTCCGAAGGATCCGAGTTATAACTTATCACGCCGTAACTTTCCTACCTGTACTCTACCATGTTACATCACCCAAAAGCCTTACCAAGCGGGGGTTATCGACATGTGGAGGGGAGGCTCGGCAGGGGAGCAGTATCTTATCAGGATTCTCGAGAATAGAAACGATCTTCGAGTCCGTGCTTGTAGTACTACGGAGTACATTTCTTTAAAATTTTATTCAATTAACTCAAGTTAGATAAGTTAGACTTTTCTGGATTCGTTTTCTTGTTTGGATGGGATGTTGCAACTTGCCATGCCGATTGATGAGTAGATAGATCATTTTGTATTATTATCATCATTATTATTATATTTTATTTGTTGTGTTTCTAGTGATAGGATGGATATTGATGGATGGTTGGTTGGTTGGATTATGCGATAGATACCAAAATACATATCTGTATTACTTTTTAGGTTTGAGTTTTGAGTTTTGAGGTTTTAGTTTTGCCAGGTGTGGACTTCCTCTTTCGTGTTCTGTTATACGTGTGTTTGATTTTCCCCTTCATCATCATCATGGCTACAACGGGAACTTCGGACACGCGAAAATAGAATGGATTATCTAATTTAATATATCGCCACCCCTTTTCCATATTCCATACTAGGTATTACATCTTATCATATTGTGTATACATTTTCGCTTGTTTACGAGTATTTGGTATTAAGTCTCATGTTATCTGCATGTGTTTGTCATATAGTATGTATAGTGAGTGGCTTCTTCGATTACCTAGGTAGGCACTACTTGTTATTTGATAGGAAAGATGAATAATGTACAGTGCTTATCTAGGTAGGTAGGTACCTACCCTATTCTCATCGATGACTTTTGAGATTTGGAGATTCTCGCAGACGGAATTGGGGATGGATGGGAGAGAGATAGGTGCTGAGTGGGTGGGAGATATCTATATGGTGGTATTGTTTGAGAGAGAGGAAGGGGGGGTTACTGGGTAGGAAGTCGATGTTGTAAGGGTTTTTTCTTCTGTGATGTGGTAGCGGTAGCAATGATGTGTAGGTAGGTAGGTGGGTAATCTTACATTCATTCGTGAATGAGATGAGTGTGCTGGGACTCGGGGAGGTAAGATTACTTTTTCTTCACGCATGATGGTTATATATCTAGCTAGCTAGCTAGCTAGCTCTGGGAAGAATGAAAAGCGAGGAGGAATGTGGAATGTGACAGCAAGAAAGCGAGTGCTTGAGTGGTTGATTGATGATTCAGATTTTGATGGATCTTCTCTGCGTAATGATAATACCTGGGTAGGTATTGGGAGGAGAAATGTTATTGCTGGTTTATACTGGTTGTTTGTACTATGATGTTGGGTTGATAGTGGATGGTGGTCTTGATTGGATGATTGGATAATCGTTTGATTGTTCAGTCTATTTTGATGAATGGATTGTTGATTCTCGTTGCTATTGAGATGAGATGCTTTATATATTGAATGGATTTTGATGGTGAAAGACTCTTAATTTCTATATTTCAGTCAAGAATTGAATCGCTCGAAATGATCGAGAGAGTTCAAGTTTTGGTTGGGTGGATCGAATGTTTTTTCTTTCTGGTGTCTGCTTTGATATTCGTATCAAAAAGTCCGTCAACAATGGGCAACATTCAATGGTCAACATTCAATGGTCTTGTATTTCGAGGAGATTGAAATTGTGTCATTGTTATCGTTGAAAACTATGGTATGGGATTTATACCAATCGATGCTTTTATTCAACCTTTCAGCTTTTTCCATTACTCTGGTATTACCAATTTTTTCCAAAGTTAGAAAATATGTCATAAATGAGCCAATAAATTGTATCAGTTGGATGAGTTAAGCTGTTTTCCTTGACTGATGTTTCATCATGATGTTCTATCTGATTTTCGAGGACTTCAAAAATGACAACTATTCTAGCTGAACAAAAATTCCGATTAATTTTGTAACTATTGATTGTAGATAGGTATGGGTAGTGATTTCTGGGAAGGGAGCACCTCTACCGCCATATAACAAATTTCTGTTTGATATTCAAGCTCCTCGAGAATAATATAATAATTCCGATACCGTGATTTGAGCTGATGATAAGTGGCGCTTGCTATACCAGTTAATCAGCTCAGGCTTGATAAGGGGCCTTTCTACTCCCTTGCTTAACAGGAACGCCATGTTATCCCTTGGTTAGGCTTAAAGTGGCGCAATATCATAAAATTGTGGTATCAGAGCATGTGTTCTTACATGCCCTTGCCCATACATTCTCTCCCCCTACATGTCTTACTTGAATGCCCTTGGAATGAAACAAATGCTCAGTTTCCCAGGATGCTGATTAGTTGATCTTTGATATCTCTACCTACACACAACAAGATCATCCGCATTTGGACCAAAATTGATATCATATCTCGTCACAAATATGGCACACAGCTGCACAAGGGATAAATTCTTGCCGATACAGCTGTAGCGTCCTATTTTGATTCAAGGTTAGCTACTTGCTGAGATTCTTAAGATAGGAGATCTTCAATATACCCGTCGAGAATGGCGTAAACTCTGATTTGTTCTTTACCATTTTTGGGCCGAGTACCGTCTTTCGGGTATGAAGTCTAACGGACGCTCGTAGGTGTCTTTCACTTTGTATGTGTGATCAGTTTTTGAGTTTTTGCAGTAAAACCAATTGAACTTACATCTTCCAAGGACATATCGTAGAAAGCAAGCTGTGACGGCTCCTGGTAGGTATCAGCTATGGTTACTTACTCCAATGGGCTATTCTTGAGGCCATCTGTTGGTAGAGTTGGATGTAGATGCGGGGCTTCATTGATGAAAGCATTAAGATGATGTAATCTTACCACGCAAGAAGCGTCTTCGATTGAAGATGCGCTGCGATTTGTCGCTAAAAGGCGGGGAGAGACTTGGTATCTTTTGCTTCATATATCAAGCATGGCACTATTATTTAAGATCTCGATTCCAATCCTCATATTTGGAGAATGCTTCCTTCTTGTCTTTGGGAGTATATTCCGATGTAATGTTGGTATAACCTGATCATAGTACGTCTTGTTATGGACGCAGCTTACTGTGAATGCTCGAGGAAGTATTCAGTGATCACACCACCAGATGCACCCTCATCACTTCAAGTGTGGGGATGCATTCAAAAAAGTGCCGATAACCGATCGGTCATTGCTTGATCTGGTCGAATAGCCGCCAGATGCAAACGACCTTAGGACGTACCATCAAAAAGTCTGCATGTCTGGTGGGAAATGTCAACTGTAAGCTAACATTTACATGCTGTGCCTCATACCTACCTACAGATTAACAGACTCATCTTTCCACATGTTGTTAATCTTTTCTTCTCTTGTCCCGACTGAATCAATCAATCTCTCATAAAGCATAGTATTATCGCCAAGGCACTCTGGCCGTCAAGAGATTGAAGTTTACGAAAATGGCCGAGACTCCCATGAGCGTCGTGATTGTGAGGCAAGAACTCGGCATGTGATTCAAATACTGACAGTTGTTATCCAAACAGATCGGAGGTTCCCTCACTGCTCTATTCCACGGAATTGTCCTTCAAAGACTTGGACACAATGTTCGAATACTCGAACGTAATCCCCTTTCTCAGCAAATGAGTCTTGGAGCCGGTATAGCCGCCATGGGTCATGCCCAAGCATTTATTAACAAACATGACGAGACCAAAACACCATACTCTGTCATGAGTCCAAATGTCCAATATCTCGATCAGAATGTCAAAGTTAAAAGCACGTGGAATATCTCTATTGCAATGACCAGTTGGAAAATTCTATATAACGTTATGAGAGCCAATTTTGACGGTCTGACAAGTGATATCTGTGCTCAACCTCCTCCCAAGCTAGTGGGGCGGGGCTCGGCTATCTATGATCACGGCAAGGAAGTGACTGGAGTCGAATATAAAGATGAGCTGGTCACTGTCAAATACCGCGAAACGGGAACTGAAAAGTATGGAACGATTCACGCCGATCTTGTTCTTGTAGCTGATGGATCTTCTTCGAAAGTACGCCGGGCTTTGTAACCGAATTTAAAGATTAGTTATGCTGGGTATGTGTCCTGGAGAGGAACGGCGCCAGAAAGTGAGATTTCGGAGGAAACAAAAATGACATTTGCGTATAAAACGACATTCTTCGCTTACAAAGGCGGTTATATTGTTCTGTATGTGCCTCTTTAAAGTGCCCGTATTTGTGGTTTAACCGAACGATAGCTATACCATCCCAGGAGAAGATGGAAATACTTCTCCCGGTCACCGCCAACTCAATTGGGTCTGGTATAACCAACATCCCGAGAGCTCACAGGAATATGTAGACTTAATGACAGATATCGACGGGCATAGACACCGCAGCACCTTACCCATCGGGAAAGTAGACCCCCAAAAGTGGGTGCAACAAAAAGTTCTCGCTCTCGAGATCCTACCCGATCCCTTCGCCGAAATGGTACAAAAAACCACAAAACCATTTATCTCCGCGGTCAACGATCGCGAAATCGCTAAGCCATCCATGTTTAATGGCAAAGTACTTTTCGTAGGTGATGCGCTTGCGTCGTTTCGCCCACATGTGGCGTCGAGTACTAATCAGGCGGCGCTGGATGCACAGCTTTTGGAACGGTTGATGAAGGGGGAGATTAGTGTTGAGGAGTGGGAGGCTGGGGTTCTGGATTTCGCGTATTTGACGAAGGTGAGGAGTGAACTTTGGGGGGCGTATTATGTATTTGGGGTTGCGACGTGGATTTTTGTGGTGACGTTCTGGAGGTATTGGAAGATGGTTGTTGGGCAGGCTTTTTGGAGACGGATTTATGGGTAGATTTTAAAGGGTTTATGGTTGGAATATTTGATTTTGTTGATTGGGAACTCATTACTCATGTACTGAGTTAGATGTTCGTGTATGGTGTTTGATCGGGAGAACTTTTCTTGTACTTAGTTGGCTATGCTATTTTAAAGCTTTTTATTCGTCGCACAAGACAAGGCTAATGACTTTGGATAGTTCTCTACTTTCCTTCGAAGACGAGCGCTTTATCAGAAGAGTAAAGACACGAGACCTCAAATACCAAATTGCGCACTACTAGATAATGGGTGAAAGTGTATTGTGAGGCGTGTTGTGGCATTTTGTGAGTATTATTTGGAGGTATTGGGGGTGCTGAGGGGGAAAAAGTGAGAGTTGGCTGGCATAAGATGGCATGGGAAGAAGATGGAAATGCTTTATCAACTCGAATGGATATTTTTTTCTATGACTGAAATACACTGCATATCAAACTGTACACCTGACTATATCTTGACACGTTAGTATCAGCACCAAAAATTGAACCTGAAATCCGAACTAGAATATCCAAAGCAATTGAATAACAAATTTGAAATCAGCATTCAGAAGATATCTGACTGTTCATTCTGAAGCGTTATTCTGAAAGCCTTTGGATGTTAACCCTTATACATAGGAGGGACATTATATTAAGAACATCTAATTCTCCAATCTCAAAACTCAAACCTCAACCCTCAATTCCAAAAATCAACCATGATAATACTACAATAAATACAACTTATATATTCCATCTCACTCAACATATAGGGAATGCAACTGCCCGTCCAAAAATAGAATCCCATCCCCTCCCCTCACAACCCCCCTTTTCCTTCCCCTTCCCTTACCCATACCCCTCCCCTACCCCCACAACAAATTCTTTAAACCTCAAGCCCCAACCTCAAAACTGGCGTCCGGGGTGTAGCATCTATCCCTCAGAGAGTAACATCAGCATCAAGGAATCATCTCGCCATACCGCGCCACCCGAATCATGGCTGAGACGCTGATTCTCACAGTATGTAAGGGAGGGAAGAAGTGGAGTGATGTTTTTATGTAAGGGATAGATGCTTGGACATGATGGGTTTAAAGATAAGGAAATTGGGAAATTGAGAGAGATCTGGGGATCTTGAATTACGCACATCTTGGGAAAATGTAACAAAAGAGATCGTCCTGGGAAGGGTGTGAAATCAACGCCATTCTCATTCTGAATAGATAGATACATAATCTCCTGGGAATCACATTCGCCCAATCCGATCTTTGCTCCAGCTCCATTGTCAGAAAAAGTGAAATGATTCATCAAGTGTAGACCATACATATGTTATGTTACCTAGTCCATTTTCTATATCCCATCCCAACTCACGACGCGCCAATAAACATTTAGAAAAGGAAATATTGAAGTAGAGATTAATGAAAAAGTATTGTGAAGGAACTTCCTACTCAATGTTACCAAGGTACCAAACCTGCAGGTAACATAGGATATTCCACCCCATCAATAATTTCCACATTCTCATCAGCCTGATGAACACCCTCTTGTCCCATATCCCATCGTTTCCAATTCGAACTGCAATCCCCTGGAACATATTTTGCGGCATCCATTTTTAAAGTCATCTTTACCTCCGGACAATAATCCCAAATGTGTTTTCTCTTCTCGGGTGTTCCCCAAATCCCACCATGAAGTATAACTCCACTCCCACCGGTGTGATAACCCATCGGTTCATAAAATCCATCTCTCCAATCATCAACTCCCTTAATTAATCCACCAGCTTTTGTCCCATCTGTGCCTTTCCCCTTATTTTTCTCAGCAGCAACTCGCTCTCCTGGTCCACTATGCGTTTCTCCCGAAAATTTGAGTGAAATTGTTCCGTTTGCAAGTTTGGCCCCAGGTCGATGACCCAATCGATCGGTAAGCCAGATATCTTCCGGCTCTGAATTATCTACCCGTACTTGATTACGGAGAACATCGATAATGGCGCTCACGCGTCTCAAACTCAATCCTCCATTTCCCCCAAACTTCCCATTGGGATTCCAAGGTGCTCCTACCCAATCGTAATCCAGCCAATTGTTGAGACTTTGTCTACTATTCGCACAGAGCATACTATCTGTCTGAAAAACAAGTAACCACTCTGCAGGTTGTAGAACCGTCTCGTAGAGCCATAGATTCGTCAAGAATCTACTGATTTCTTCCTGTGACCCTGTGGACATGTTGGCGGGAATGTACGTTAGGTCAAGTTTTCCTGATTTAACGTGCTGGCGAATTGCCCGGCTGGAATTCATGAGCGCGACGGATTCAAGACTTCCCATAAAGCGGAAACGCCAATCGGGAGGTACGACGGACATGAAATGTAACATGAGAGGAGAAATAATTGGATTGACGCGGTTTTCTATCAAAAGTGCTACTTTGGATTGATTGAATTGGGAGGGTGCCAGTGCACCATAATCAAGGGTTACTTCGGGGATCGTGGGTAGTGAGGGGAGTGAGGGACGTTCTGGTATCGAAGATCCGAAGAGCAGAACAGAAAGAATACTTAATTGAAATATGATGTTAGTATATTGTGTGTAATTGGAATATGACATGGATTTGACTTACAAAAATAAAAATACACCGCTAACAACCCGTATCCGTCTCGTGGTTTTCGACCATGCGACCACCATCGTTGATGATGTGGTGGCCCATATATCCTCCACAGTCATCCCACCATTTGGCGACGACATGATTGTGATTTTTGATATCGATTTTTCCGCAATGGGCTCAGAAAGCTCTTAGCTCCAGACAAGTCTCAAATTGAAGGGCCGGAAACTGAGTAATTCGATATATACAAACTGATCACTGGCTAATTGTCAAATCCAATGTTAGACACGAATTCCTGAAGGACAAAAAGTGTCAAATCATAGCGATAAGAAATTCATCATCAACATGACGCGGCCTGCAGTTTGAAATTTTGTCAAGGGTTCTTTTGCTGGTACGGAGTAGTATGGAAGAAAATGGATCTACATACATTTTTGGATAAATGAATCTTTGAGCAGCGTGGAGTAAAAGACTGAAAGCATGGGATGAAGAAGTCGGTATCTGGGTAGTGTCCTAGCTTCGGTACCGAGGCCTAGGTACCGTATTCATTCGAAACAGCCTAGCAAGGATTAACATTTTAAGTTTCTCGTGGGAAAATTCGAAAAAGTCCGGCAAGGATTTAACATTTTAAGTTTCTCGTGAGTTGTCGTATTCTTTTGAAAAAATTGTACAGAGCTAGCAAGGTTTATTAGGATTTAATAGTAGAATATTAGTATTATAGTTCTTCTTTATTATTATTCTTCTATATTCTTATTTTTATTCTTATTAAACTGAATATTACTTTTATATAAACATATACTACTGAATTCTGAATACAATTTTAGCTCAGGTAAGTATCTATTCTTAAGGGTTTGTTCAAATCGTTCTTAGATAAAACACAAGTTAATTAGTAGATCGATCGATCGTAATACTTCAAACCTCGCTAGTAAGGGAAATATTCATACGAGGGGCGTGTTTTAGTCGAGGACCCGGGTCCGTGCGCAAGTACTTTTTACATCAAAAATCACGTATTTTAGAATTCAATATTAAATTAATGAATATCATTATATATTTCAGCTTTTATACAAATATAGATTCTAATATAAAGATTTATAACATGATTTTAGATTTTCTATAAAAAAAAAAATTTGTTTAAGACATAGAAAGAATTATTAATATTTAAAATTATTTTAAGAATTAATACTTATTTTAAGAATTAAAATTCTATATAGAATTCATTAACTTTTATAACACATAAACTACTATTTTTAATAACAATTTAATTGTTCCTTAAATCTTCATATGTTTCCTGGATTTTATAGTTTTATAATAATCATTTGAATTAATTTATATTTATAAAATTAGAGAATAAAACATAGTTTTGCTGAGGAAATTCGCTTAAATTTTAATTGGGCCCTCATCAAAACCACGCCCTCGTATCATAGATAAAGATTCCAGGAAAAATAACTTCATCGTATCTTATCACCCTATGAAACAACAAGATTGATTGCGTATGTTCAATTACGTTTTATTCTTATAATCTCACGCTGCTATAAGTACCTCATCAACCCGGGAAGTCATAGACAGGGCTCGTTCTTGCTTCCTTCCTTTTCTTTATTCCTATCAAATCGATCATATCCTATCATATGTCCTTTCGGAATTGACATCTCGTTCTGCTCATATGTTTGTGATAGAGGCTGACTGTGTCCTCTCCTTCCTTCGGGGCTCATTAGCCCGGTCAGGAAATCAGCTCGTTTGAGATCTGAAATGAGGGGGGAAATCGATTTGGTGGTCTCCCTGGCTTGATGTGTTTGTGGCATATAGAATTCCAAAACAGGGATGATTTTGAATGCCACAATTATCTGCTTGCAGAACTAAGCTGCCGAAGTTTGTTTTCGGAAATTCTAATGTCCACGATGTCTCATGAAATGCCTGGTTTTCGAGTCGTAAGAGAAACAGCTCGTTGGCGATATCGGTTTTATAGAAAAGATATTGTGAAAGTTCATGACTAGCTCCTTGCACTATCGAAATTTCTGTGCTATACTCCTTTTCTAAAATATGAAAGGTGGCTTTTTTGATATCAGTTCTGCCTTGAGCATGCCAAAGAACTTAATGATTTGTGACGATCGTTCTCATACATATTTCCTTATCTTGCCGAAAACATGTGAGACCCTCATCAATCATTTTTTGATATTCCCTATCTCAAGGCCAAGACTTTCCTTGCAAGTGCACAAGAGCAGTCTTCTCAATGTCAATTGAACTTCTAGTACTTGTCAAATTCGTTTTAGGGGCCATACATGTCCGACTCGATGCTTCGGTAGACTTTTTAGGACTGTCTGTAGAAGGATACATTCATTGGTATTTCGAAAAACTTCTTCTATCAAAGCTCTTTCAGATACGACTGCAGTCTATAGGTCATGTCAGTCGATATACAGCAGCGTCAAGCTCGGAATATCGGGTTTGGGGCTTTCATTTTCCTCATAATTATCTGGACAGTCAAAATCTCCGGTCCAAACCACGATGCCACTAACTTTTATTCGAATCACACGAAAAGTTTCAACTCATCGAAGCTAGCTTTTTCCCTTCCAGATTTGTTCTCTGGCGAGCCAAATGCTACAGCACAAGCGAATCTTCTAACGGATGAATTTGGAGATTACTTCAACGGAACGATTTTCAATAAAGTGGCAGTGATAATAGAGGATAGCTATCGTCCCGAGGTTATACCTCTAGTCCTGCACTTTGGCAGTGTTCTCGGTCCAACATGGCCCATACTTATATATACTTCAATCGAAGACGTTGCCCGATTTTCCACATCTGCGGCACTCTCTCGATACCTTAAACAAGGTCTCATTCAAATACGGAATCTCCCGCAGACCGTTCTGTTTACAGACCTCAAAGCAAGAAACAAATT